GATACCCAGAGGCACTGGTTTGCATTAGGGCTTAATTTCCAGCTAAATTAAAAATAAAATCCAGGCATTTTGAATGCCTAAGGGGCACAAAAGCAGCACCCAAAATCATTAACTTTTGCACCTTTTATAATATATTCCAAACCGGTCAGATTTGTTTTTCAAAATTTTGTAGTAAAATAAAAGTGCTCTTTGAGGAAAATCTACGCAGTTAAACAGCAGACGCTTAACCCCTGAAAAATAGAGGCTTATAACAGAAGTGCTGATAGACCCTTAACCATAGCATCGTTAGCAGCAGGTGCTGCTAGTTATTAGTTTTTCTAAATAGTTTTAATGTAAACATAATTCTTAAGCTCTAAGTGTAGCATAATGGTTGGGATTTGCTCTTTAATTCTTTTTACTAGAAAGATACAGCTCATTTAAAATAGCTGGTAGATACAGAAAGCATAAATATACAGTAAGTTTAGACACTGATTGTACTAAATGCAACAATACAAAGAAGCAAACAGGAACACAAATGGTAACACAATAAAACTGTATTACATTTGTGCTTCAAATATTACAATACATTATATACAAGAGTCCAAAATAAACATCTCATGCCAAATGACACAAAAAGAAACCAAAAAACCCCAAACAAACAAACAAAAAAAACCCAACCCCAAGAGCAAGCAAAAAAGAATCCAGCTGTATGTACAGTACCTTTTTAATTGACATTCAACTCTGAACTGGAGCAATTTTCACTACATACAGATGCAGTCCGCCTTTTATTCACACAACCATTCTGTCTCCCTATATCTATGCTATTCAGTAGGTTCCTGTGTCGTTTCTTATATACATGTTGAGCAAAAAAGATAAAAGAACGTAGTGCTTTGTATTCTTAATGATGTGGCATCAGATCAGCGAACCTGGGGTGCATAACCTTCTTTCATTAAACCCTCCTCATAGTCTGTCTGGCACAGAATCATGTTGTTCTTCAGGAAAAATTTGTCTCCAACGCAAAATCTGAAATTACAATAATAAAGGGGATAAAAAAAAAAAAAAAGGTAGTTTCAGGATGAATGATGTGGTGTGATCTTGTACATAAGGATTGTACACCAAGGGTTCATGGTTTTGTCGTACTGACCGCGCGGCTCACACCTCTGCTGTCTGTCACAGCGTGTGCAGACACATGTGCACGTATATGTGAAAGCCCAGCAGAGGAATTGCTCTGGTATCAGAATTAATCCCGTGTTTTCAACAAAATCTGGTGCATTCAAGCGCTTTTGCTTCCCCAGCCAAAGACTTCATTCAAAGCCCACCAAAGACTGTGGGAGTTTTGGATCTGGTCACTAGCACACAGATAAAACAGAATAAATACCCCAGGCTACTGAGTTGAGTGAAAATAAAGATCCTGCCTCCATGCAAATCAGACGGAAAACAAATGTTTGTATGCATTATGGAGCTCATCCGAGATACAGTACGTTTGTGTTGGTAAGAACTTCTTGTTGTATTCCAGTTGGATATATTTCTAGAATTGATTTAAACTGGTGGTTCTGAGAACCTTTCCTAGCAGACACACAACTTTACCAATATTGTGATGCAAACTAGAGACACACAGGCAGGTATAGAGAGAAACCTTTTTCTTTTTTCCTGTAGGAGTTGATGATAAATTTACTTACTCAGTTAACTACTCTCTCTCTTGTGGAATCATATACCTACCTTGTTATACTATTATGTGCATCAGAATGATTTGATTGCTACAAAACGCTTCTGAGATATTGCATTTGATTTTTTTTTTTCTCTGATGAGTAGGAAAATCACGTAACCTTAATGCTCCTGGCTGGCTGGCTGGCTGGCTTCAAACTCTCAAGTATACAAGTATGGAAGGATTTCCCAGTTAAGCAGTGTGCTTGAATATAAGAAGCCTCTTCATTGACACCCCCCAACCCTTCCCCCCTACAACAAACCCAATCTTCATCTTCCCAAAGATACTTAGGGAGCAAGTGAATAGGGCCAATGCATAGAAAAAGAGTTTCCCTAGTGACTGCCTTGGCAGGGTTACGTGACTTTGTTTATAGTGAACTCTCCAGCTATGAAATATATTGGGAGGCACTGCTCACATTATTCCAATTAAAATGAAAGAAAGTAACCTAAATGAACCCCTTAACACTGATGTGAATAAATGAAACCAGTTTCTACCAGCTAATTATGGATCTCGCTACATAAAGTATTGCTTAATGTGTAACAGATTATAATGTCCTTTTATGTATAATTTCCAAATGGTGACATCTTGGACACAATTAGGGTTAGATATAAATGCTTGTGTTGTTTACGGTAGATTTAACAATGGAGTAGCTATGGGAATAGCTGTATATGTATTTAATTGTAACAATTTAACCTTCAAATAATGGTGCCTGCTGTAGTTGACCCAGTAAAACTACATAAATGACACAGGTTGACCCACCTGACCTCTGATAGTGGTGTCTCTTTATCAGATAGTCAATTTCTAATGATATTCAAGCAGAAATCTTGGTGAATTGTCACAGATTAAATTGTGTATTGAAAGCAGTCCTTTAATGTTTTGTGAAGTTGGAGGTTTAAATGAGTAGCAGTTGGACTGATTTACATTTGTGAAGATTGGAATGCTAGACAAAGAGTGAACCCATTTATTTTCCAACTGGGTAGCTTTGGAAATTTATCCTTATGCTAGCTAAATAGATAGAGGGAAAATAGTGTAATAAAAAAGTGGATTGAAAAGAATTAGCTCTGATCTTAAAGGAAAATTGGTTTGTTTATTTGTGGACTTTTTTTTTCTTTTTTCTGTAGGATTACTGCCTGCTGCTGATGATGATTGAAAATAGATATTATGGAATGATCCCAAAATCTTTAAGTTATTTATGATCAAGACTCTTTTACAGAATTTACAGGTTTCTGCTATCCTTCCCGCTCCAATCCTGGTATATTAGGCTACTAACAACACAAAAGTATTTTGAGTCAGTGTGTTGAAATGCAGAATTCTTGAAGCAAACAAGTTCTTTGGTGGTTTCTCTAGTTTCCATCCTTTATATTTTTGTCCATTAACAACAGTGCTGACAAAAATACTTTTGTGCGTTTTACCAGATTAGGTAAAAGAGTCTTAAGTAGTGCTAATATGTAGAATTTTTTTTCCCAAAGAAGTCACATTAAAAGAAAAAATTAAAAATGTCCTTCTTAGTTTCTCTTAAAGGAAGATATAGATTAATGTGGACTAAAGGGGAAGTTAGGTATTGTGACAATATATAAGTCACTCCAGTGCCTTAAAATTAGCCCAAGGATTACTGATGGGGACTCCCAACTGGGATGGGGAGACACAACCACCTCTGCTCTCCCAGCAGAAGGCACTGACTCTGAACTGTGAATGTCCCTTTGTGTTCCACAATAATACAGAACTTAGCAGACTAATTTGTTAAAAATAGTCTTTTGATTTTAGTAAATCAAAAGATTGATTTAGTAAATCAAAAATACACTGCTGAAGTGCAATTCATGTGTATGGCAATACTTTCACATATGACTTCTTTTAATATCGTTTGCATCAAAATCCTGGCTGAAGGATTTTTGTTTCTCAACCCTCAGAGAAGTGCCGTGGTTTGAATTAAACTACACCAGCTACACAAGGGAGTCAGGATGTCTTTCCCAATAAAAAGTGTCAATGCCTTCTGCTTTTGCTATGTTAATATGTCGAGCCAGAAATGCTCTACCTATGTCTACATGGCTTTTGACAGCTTTATGCATGAATGGTTTTAAACATACACAGTTCCACAAATCATCTACCTTCCAAGTGTACAGCTGTCTTGCGGAGAGGCTGCCAGTGGCTTGTCTAGACACGCTCGACTGTGTGATAACCTGTGGGGTGGGGGTCTGTCTGCGTGGTAAGACACTCTCCAGGTTCATCTGGGGCTGCATTTGCACGCTGGGGTGGTGATCCTCTGTGCTTGGGGGAAACCTGTTACTTGCGATACTTGCAGTCCAAGTTCTGCAACTGTTTTTGTATTGTGCGAGTTCAGCAAGCGAAACACATTGGCAAAGACTGACAGTGAGACTTGCATGTGCCCCTGGGTGTTAAATGTGTGAATTATGCACTCATTAGGTGAAAAACGTTTAAAGGTGGCACACCAGCTTCTAAGTACAAGGAGACCAGGCAATTGGATGGCTGAAATATGGCAAATTCTGTTCATCCACACTTTCAACCTTATCTGACTGTCAAAAGCAGATTTAGCCTCTTCTGAAGTCAAAGACCCAACTCTTGCAACTATTCAGATTGGTTTTGCACACTCTAGGATTTAAGCCTGCCTCACCTTTAAAATGGAAGGGTGGGTTCAAGCATAGCCTTTCACCCCCAGCAAGTGGGGGTTTTGTGGGTTTTTTTGTTTTGTTGTTTTTGTTTTTTGGGTTTTTTTGTGGAATTGGCATTGGATATAAATCAGGGCACAATTTGGGCACGTATATCAAATGGAGTCAAGGAGCATATTGAGATGCCACTGGGTTAGTAGTATATAATGAGGCAAGACTATTACTGTTCTAGCAGGCAGATGGTAGTCTTCAGCCTTCCCTAAAACCCTCACCCAATTTATTTAATAGGCATGCAAGATGAACGGGGGGAAATATACAATAGGCTGCATTAACATGCCAGATTGGACTTACCACTATAAATTGATACTACTACTTTTGACATGACTGTGACATTAGTAGAATGACCATTATAATTAACCTACCTCCTAGAACTCCTGTCATATTTTACAACAGCAAAAGGAAGGCCATTTCTGTGAGAAAATGACCTCTGTTATCACCTTGTTTGGAAGGGGAAGGTGTGCTTAGACTAATCACAAGAAGTATAAAACTTCCATTTTGAGAAATAGCCATTTCATTGTTCAGAACAGATATTTAAGGAGATCTCACCGCTCTCTGGCATCTTTTCTAATGTACAGGAGTGTCAAGGTACGCAAGACTTCTTAAAAAAGTGAGATAAATACTGCTGTGAGCAAAGATGGCTGTGTGTGAAGTGCTTCCTCTGGTAACATCAGATCTTTGTTGTTGTAGAAAGAAACAAAATCTGTAAGCATTTAATTGATTTCCTCTAGGATAAAGAAAGCTCAGCCTTACCCCATCCACACCCTTCTACTCTGCTCTGTGCACTGTGATGTAACTTCGTCCTTTCCTCTTTTTTTTTTTAAAGCTCCTTTGAGTTTTCAGTAGAATTCAAATTAATGTTAATCTATATACACCACTAAGAGAACAAAGCCACTTTTTCACATCACAGTTCATCAGTCCACACCTATGGTTTACTAATTCTAGAATTCTGTCAAAATGTTCATTTATTATCAAATGGAAAGTGGGAGCTGTGCCTGGATTTGTACATTTTTACCAGTACGATGTAGTATACATACACACAGAATCCTGGTTCCACTTACAACGACAAACCTCAACTTGCTGAACTTTTCATTCACTATTTTTTTTAAAGCAGGTATGGAAAATGTATCAATTTTATGCTAAATTTAGAAATGCTCAATGAAAATAAGCAGTATTCAGGTCTTCCAAATTTATAAAATGCAAAAAAATCTAATGTTGATGTTTGAAACAAGGATGTCCCTGGCATTGCATTCCCTTCCCCCTACTCGACAGAGAACAAAGGCAACATTGTGTGGGCATTTTACAGTTTATACTGGAGGTAAGTGTTTACAGCTACATCAGGACAGTGATTTGAATGAGTATATAACCATTTTCAGTTCAGTTCCTATTAAAATAAAGGTTGTTTTAAATAGAAGAATAGAACAGTGGATTTAAACCCTCCTCAGTGATAGCAGATGGGTGTTTTAAACCATACCCCAGGCTGACTTCAGATGGCAGAGAGAAAATATCGCAGAAGTATGGAACAAGCTGCTAAAGCAGCCGACAGAGAGTGAAAGGAAGGACACTGAAACTCTGGAAAGTGGGAAAGCCGAAGGCAGACTGAGATCATCACTGTAGTCAAAAGTGTCAAGCAAAGATACAGCTGAACCCACTCGCAAGATTTTCCACTCCATTTTGCTAGTCACACACATGCAACCTGACAAAGTGTGAAAGGCAGTGTCTGTTTACAAGTTCATTTTTCCAGAGGTTTCAATTTTTTTTATTTTCTTCCTTGAAATTTTCTGCAGAAATAAACTATATTTGGGCTACTGCCAATGTGAAGTGAAATGCTTCTGAGGAGAAGTTTAATATGTTTACAGAGAAGAAAGGGGAGCACTCACACCATTAAGATGAGTGTCACTAAGCTCTGTGGGTATTTAAGAGATGGAAAATCTTCAAATTAGGAGTAAGCTGCACAGAGACATGAAAGATAAGAGGATGCTAAAACCTTTAGGCTAGGAGCAGAGCTTGATATTCACAAAGTCCCTACAGCTTTAAGCATCAGTATCAAGACAAAATGGGGAAAAGATGTCAAAAACTGCCTGGATGGAGCAATTAGGTCCTAGAGCTGAATAGCTTTTTAAAAAGGAAAATACGAGACAGTGTGTATTTGACACCAGGGGACTAGGCTCAGTGGCTCAGGAGATCTCTTTCAGTCCTGTCTCTGTCTACAGTCCTGTCTACAGTCTGTCTTCCTAGAATACAGTATGTAAGACAATGTGTTTTTCTTCTGACTCTGAAAATCTAGCTTTTAGAAGGCTGATAAAAGGGGAGAGGCACATTGTGAGTTAGTTCAGAAATTGAGTTTATGGCCTGAACAAAAGTCCCTTGAAATCAAGGGGGTATAAATACCGTTCACACTGAGACTTGAGCTGGATGGTGAGTTATAGATACTCAAAAATAATAAAGAAAACAGTGAAGTTGTACATAAAAACAGAAAAATCACTGATTCTTTCAGAAAAAGGACTAGGCACAAATGGGCAGACCTCTCTCACACTGACCAGGATGAACTATTTAAAAGGCAGGAACATAAGGGCCATGCAATAGCAAGTCTGAAGAACAGGCTGTCCCAAGGATTGGTGTGATATGAGTTAATATAATTATTAGCTAGCTGGGAAGGCAGAAACCATCAGAAGGCACAACCAGGCACAAAACATCAGAAGAAATTCAGTGTTGGCAAAGACAAAGTAATGCAAACTGAAGAAACATTTTAGTCTACTATGAATATTGCAGATATTCTCTTAGGAAAAACCCTAAATGGTAGCCAATCACTGAAATATGGAACTGAACACAGGGCATTATATACTTTCTGGTATTACTTCAGCTATGTTCTACTTGTATCAGAATAAAGAATGACCCAAAGGATTTAAAATTTAACGGGAGAAGAGAATGTGAAGGTGGGGAATAAGGTCAAACATACATGCCTTGCAATCGCTGGTGAGCCTTGCTACCTCCATTGGTATATTTGTGTTTGTAAATAAAAATATTCTCTTCAATAAATAAATCCCACATTAGGGATAGTGGCTGGAGTGAAAGGGAAGAACAGATCTAAAAAAGCCCAAGAGCAGTATTTTGCATACAAAGGGGCAGAAAAATAAACTCGGAATCTGCTGTTTGGTTTTGAATAGCTTAACTTAAAGGAAGAAAAAAGGATCCTGAGAAGGGCAACAGAAATTACTAATGGCATGATGACTGACAAGATTATTCAGTTTAAAATAAAAGGAAAAGAGGTTTCATAGCAGATATAAAAAAACCTCCAAAAACTGGTGATGGGTCAGGTGTCTAGCATTTCTATTTCTTATTGTTAAACAAGTAATGAAAAACAAAATCTTTAAAGCTATTAATGACAGAATGTAGTCAGTGGGATCCTTTGCCATAGGAACCACAAAAGAGCTAAATTGGATCATCCATGAGATTAGAATTTATTATAAAAACCAACAAAATTAATTCTTCAGAGTGCCACCAGCCCCAAATTGTGAGGAAGAAAGGTACCCTACAGGCTGTCTGCTTCATTAGGCTCCATGAGAGCTATTGCAATATAATCAAAATAGGGCTATTTTTTTAGATTTTTTTGAAAGTCTTTTAAACTTCTGGAACGGCTCTCTGTTTTAACTAGATGAACTAGTCTGTATTTTAGGTAAACCAATTCTTTTGTTCCCAGCCTAAGACTCCTCTAAGACTATTTCAGCAACCTTTTGCCCAAACTACATGCAATGTAAAAATCAAATAAGAGACTAGATTGAAGGTTCAGGAATGAAAAGGCTAAGAAATATTAAATATCCCAGGAAAGCTCTGTTTCAGAAGTACCTAACAGCACCTTTCCAGGGGGATCAGTGGCCCTAGGGCATGGTATGATGTATATTAGCTGCAAAGTGAAATTGTACATTAGTTCCCACTTGTACTGGTAAAAGAAGCATATTAAAAATAACCACAAAATCTTTGCTTTTAGGGGGTAAGAAAAGGAAAGTTCATTTCCTCAGATCCAAGAGTGCTAACTATGATTAAAATCTTCTGCACTCAGGGTAACAAACATTGTCTGCTTTGCTTGACTGATGAAGATTAGCTGACTTCTTACATTAAAGAAGTTTGTCTTGTATGGGCTGAAGTGACAAGACAATAACTAAGTGCTAATTGTGCATAACCAACACTAAAGATATGCAGCCCCATTATGGCATGTAATAAATGAAGCGAACAACAGAAATATATTAGGCACTATAATAATGATACTAGAATCATTGTTTGAAAAAAAAAAAAAAAAAAAAAAAAGGGATGTGAAGGGTTTAAGAAACAAAACCTAAGAGTGTGCGTGTCTTACTTAAGTGGGTGAAGCTACCAGAGGGTCTGCCTGCCTTCCTCCGAATACAGCCTCTTAGTTCTGTGGCAAGACCAAATTGATATAGGACTTTAAATAACATTAGAACCTATAATTACCTTGCATTACTATATAGTTTAAGCAGTGGTTATTACTTGCCTGGTATTTTAATTTCCCATGCAACATGATGAAAAAGGTCAATTTGGCTTTTTTTTTAAAGAGCGTAATTGTAGTGTGCTACACTTATTAGCAGCTGTACATTTTATGGTTCTTTAGGGAGGTTTGATTTTTAAATGAGTACAGTGTTACAAAATAATACACTGTAGGACAAGGTGAGTTAGCAAAGCTTATTTAGAGCTGTACCTAACTTTGGCCTGTTAGACTATTATCTTCCTAATCTTTTGTTACTTCCCTAGAAATGCATATCTCATGTTTCTTCCCACTTGAAAATGAAAAAAAAAATGAATGCTATAAAACTCTAAATAGGATCATGTAATAACTGAAAAAAAACCATAATAGGTATATTAAGGAATGGCGATAATTAGTTCTCTCATTTCCTAGACTCAGAGAAGTCACTGGCAAAGCTGCTAGCAGCTCTTGTGGAGTCAGAAAAAGAGCTCTCGGTGAAATCTCTGACAGGATTTGGCCACCACTTTGCATGTATTTGCTCTAAGTTCAGCTGTATTCGCCTCGGAAAGGTTCAGTTGTTGCAATTTTACCGTTTTTTGACATTCATTCTACAACTGTGCCATATGGGTGATGCTTCAGAACAAAGTATGAAGTTTGGATCCTTGGGATTTTTCTAACCTACAGTTAGGATATGAAAATAAAAATATGGCATAAGTAGTTCAATGTTGCTACAGATAAAAATGGTGGGAACGTCATCTTTTAAATTTAAATGATTACAGTTCTGGCAACAGGAAGAAACTTTAAAATGTACTTTAAAAGAAGTGTGATAAAAATGAAGAATTAAAGTAAAATTAATGTAATAATGACAAAGAGTACTGCTATGCTCTTCTGCATTTGACAGCCTTTTGAAAGAGAGGAAGTAACATTATTCTTGTTTATTATGTGGAATTTGAGGCACAAAATGTTTTCTGACCAAGGTCATGAAAGATGTTTTGTATCAGTCCCAGGAAAAATATCCAGGTCATACTCTCAATCTTGGGTTTCCACCACTGGGAGATGTTTCCTCTTCACTTGAATGTATGCCCACATCAGTGCCGAATTAGCAATTAGCTGATGGAACAGACCCAAGAAATTCTCTTACCTCTGATTACAAAGTTGACATGCAAAACAGTCCAGGTGATAAACATTGTCCTTTGCTCTCATCACCATCTCAAAAGCAGGTATGAGCTTACTGCAGGCAGCGCAGTTTCCTGTAACGCCAAATAACCTGGAGATATAGAAAGAAATATATTCCTGAAGATGCTTTACTGAAAACAAAACCACACTTTCTTTTTTTTTTTTTTAATCTTTCTGGGGTTTTGGGGAGATTTCCCCCCCCCACCTCTCCCCCCACCCCAGCAGAGATGCCTGGCCTTTGCTTGACTTCCCAGCACACCTCCTTTTGGAAAAGGTGGTCTTCAGTGGTACAAGTCTGCCCAATTTACGATACAAAAGCATAGTCCTTTTTTGCTGGAGAGAGCTTCACGAAGCAGTGACAGACTAATATCGCACCTATTGTGATGTTATTTTATTTTTTTTCTCCAGGTTATACTGACCTTTCTTGATAAAAGAAACATCTTGTTAAACTAAAGAAAGGAATAGTAAACACATTAGAGAAGTTGCATAACTGTGCAGACAGAGGTCAAGCTGTTTGCATACGTGGTAAGAGTCTTCTGCTTGGATCCTGCCGTACAGATGAGAGCCACATAACCTTGGCTTTTGGTGCTATTTATTATTAAAACACACTTTAGCTAGAAAAGAAATAACACTTGAAAAAGCCAATATTCTTCACATTTTTGACATCTAGTGCTAAAAGCTTTACCACTATTATTAAAAGAACATTTTATGAACAAGTCATTTAAATCGTCAGAAAGCATTAGTGGTTCATGCACCTTACAACCCTATACCATAGTTATTGCTATGATTATGTTATTCAGGTAGCACATTAAAGTAAATGAGGCTGTAAACTATATATAGTCAGATCAGGAGTAGAAGTATAAAATACTGTAAGAACAATATGAAATGCTGTTTTTGCCAGACATCTATATATTTATTTTTAAAAAAAATTCTCTTTGTTAAAGATTTTTTCAATACTTTTCAAGTGCGTGTCTTACAAAAAAAAATAAAAAAAAGAATTACACATATTCATCCTTTTGTAACATAGAAGGATTATAATGAACAAGAAAAATACGTTAGCTCTACGTGGTAGCAATCTTTGAAACTAAGTTTATTTAAACTACTTAATAGTTGTGATGGATTATTAAAAGCAATGCTCTGCTTGTGCATAGCAGTTAATGGTGTTTTTAACTATGAAGCACACTAGATGAAAACGCCACATCTGCCAGTTTTCTTTTTTGCCTCAACATCAGGCTGACAGCAGAAAAATATAATGGCTCTCAAGGGAAATACCAAATTAAAAGCAGTTCTAAACTAATGAATTCAAAGGTGCTCTGTAGAAAAATTCAGTTTGGTAACATAAAAATGAATGCAGGTTTGTAATCACATCCCTCCATTTTACTGAATTTCATGGGTTACCAACAAGCCTACTTAATTCCAAATCCCTTTACCTTCTGCTTCCACTTAAGGTGTGCTGCCTACATAATACGTGCTTGTTTTTTTTAATGTTGCGACCTTTTTTCTCTGCTGTCTGAGATGCTGGTTAATGTGATCACTGGGAGAAGTATTAGGACAAGGCCAATCTCATCAGCTCTTGTTAGAATGACTCAAGTCAACCTCCAGTTCTGTTAAGTCTGATTACTAAAATTCTAGATTACTTAAGAAAATTAGGAATATTCCCTTTGTAAAACATTCTGTTCCAGGTCTATCTCCATCATGCATGGGTTTCCTCGAGGTAATCTAAACCTCAGCCAGACTTTCATTCCTTGCCTTTAAGGTCACAAGATTTAGTTGCCTTCCACCATCATTGGCTGGCTTTGCATTAGAAAAGGCTAAAGCCACCAGCCAAAGGCCCAGCTCTGTTTTCCTTCACATCTGTGTAGAAGAAGATGGTAGCTTAGTTGTACAAGGAAAGCAGATCAGGCCACAAAAGGTACTGAGCAAGGACTCTAGGTACACAGTAGTGTAATTCTATATTGTTACAGCAAAAGGAAAGTCAGATTTTAAGGCTCTACAACAACAACAACATTTGAACACAAACATAAGAATTGTCCCACCATCTCCAAGCTCAGTGTGGAGGGATCAGACAGCACCTCAATTCAAAACTGAATACTTGAGCCTCAAGCCCCTTGCTGGAGAGGGTGCTAGGGGCAGGCTGTGTCACCTTCCTCAGCCATGTCCCCTTTGCAGGGGCGTGTCTGCGTGCACGAGAAAGTGGAAAATCCATTACAGCTAGGATCGCCGCTTGCGTGTTGCAGAGCAGTGAAACAATTTGGGATTGTCATTCAGCACTACGAAGGATGGAGATTTACTGCACCGGAGTCCACTATGTGCAGATTTCCAGAGTTCTGAAATAAGAGACCCCCACAGAAGCTGCTTCAGCTAAGCACCAGATATATTAAAATTTTTCAATTACATAGAGAGAAGGAGGCCTTCCTCGCTGTTAGTTCTTCCCCACCACATACAAAACAAACATGTGAGATTTATATTAGCTATTGCT